GACATATATCACTACCATAGTACACCGCAACAGTGCCGGTTGGAAACCCTATATAGGTGCCGGTTTTTCCCAACCGGCATAAAGGAGACGGCACTGATGTGATTATTCAAAGGAACCGGCACCTTTGAGGTCCCAAGAATCCAAAAAAAAGGGAATCGAGCCGATGCATCGAGCCGTTCCCCGTCACCCCGAGACTTGTCACCCCAAGACCATCGATCCAAAACAAAATTACAGAAGTTTCACACTGTCACCATCGATTCATCCAAGACATATCCCTCAAAGCAAATCACAGAAGTTTTACACAAATCACAGATCCCTCAACAATTACATAAAAACAATCACCGTTGCCGCTACGTTGCCGAAACCGTCGTGGGATCTGCCGCCGCCACCGCTCCGCCCGCCACCGCCGACCCCGGTCGCCGCCGCAACCCCTCCGCCGCTGTCGCCACCCCGGCCGCCGCCGAGGCTGCCTCGCCCACCACCGTGGGAGAAGCCACTGCCGACGACGCCAGAGGGGGGGGGGCGAGAGAGAGATCGAGAAGCCACTAGCGGCACCCTTATCCTTATCTCGTCCTGCTGGGGCCCGCCGGCTCATCTCGATTTGGGTACGGTTTATTTAAAAAATCGGCGCATATAATTTTTTATAGGTGTCGGTTTTTGTAGTGCCTTTTTTACAAAAAAAACTGACACAAAATATAATAGGTGTCGGTTTTTATTTGGAACCGACACCTATAATTACTTAAATGTGCCTTTTTTTGCGATTTCAATCCGCGGAGGTGGGTAAAGGTTTATAGGTGCCGGTTTTAGCACTACTGGCACCTATAGTGGCGACACCTATTTGATGATTTGTAACAGTGTATCTGTCCGGATTCGTTGTACTGTAATGTGTCACATTTAATTCTAAATTCGTTTTTTGTGTGACGGAGGGCGTACATCTAGCAGCATTGTAGTGAGCGTGTCGGATCAGCAGATTCAGCACATCAATTGCTCTTCATAAATCACAGGCAGTAAACGACAACTTCACTACAACTAGCAGCATTGCAGTTGTTAGTGTGCGTACACGTCAATTTCAAGAAAAAACTGCAATGTTAACCAATAATGACACTACCACTGATGTTTGAATATTCCGAAGACGAAGTTGAAAATTAAGTGTTTCACACAAAATGAGGTGGTAATAATATGTGATTAATTAAGTTTTAATTATTATAAACTTAAAAAATAGATTAATCTAATATTTTAGAGCAACTTTCATATATAAATATTTCGCACGAAACGTACGGTTTAGCGGTTTGAAAAACGTGCCACGAGTATCCAAAATTTAATCCAACCGTTGTTGGAGAAATGAACACGGTATAATATTTCATTGTAATTTAGCTGAAATTGGTAATCAGTAAACCAGTGTGTTAGAAGATGTATATTTTTGCACCGTGCTTTAGTTAGTCAACTAATAATTTCCAAGAATGTGCATATTAAGGTGCTATCACTGGTGGAGAAATGCTCTTTACTTTTGGTTTAGAACCCTTTGTAGTCCCGATTTTTCAATCAGGATTACGAATCCGGGACTAAAGATCGCTATCTTTAGTCCCGGTTCAAATAACCGGAACTCGATCTTTAGTCCCAGTTGGTGTTACCAACCGGGAGTAAAGAGGGGGAATATTTAGTCCCGGTTGGTGTTACCAATCGGGACTAAAGAGGGGAAGCGACAGTTCCTCGAGATCTTTTTATTATTATTATTTTGTTGTTGATTTGCTAATGGCTAGTGTTAATCTATGTATTTTCTCCCGAATCGAATGAGATGCACATCCCAAATCAACATTTCAAATATTAAGTTACTTATACACACAAGTCAAATACATCACAAATCCTACACACAGATCAACTACATCACAAATCCTAAAAACTACACACAAATTAAATACATCACAGATTATACAAATTATACATCTTAGATCCATGCGATGCAATGAATCACAAAATCTAAAAAATTATACATCCAGTGAAACACAAATTATATATATAAAAAAAACCGAGCCGGCGCCCGGCCACCGCCTGCCCGCGTGTAGCCGCGGCCGCCGCCGGCCGCCTGCCCGCCGGCCGCCTCCACGCGCGCGGCTGCGCCGCCGCCCGCCTCCACGCGCGCGGCCGCGCCGCCGCCGCCGGCCTCCTGCCCGCCGCCGCCTCCCCCTTCGCGGCCGCGCCGCCGCCGCCCGCCGCCGGCCGGCTGATGGAAGACGGAGTAGAGGGGAGGAGAAGAGAAAGGGGAGGAGGGGAGGAAGAGAGGGGAGGGGAGGAGGAAGAGGATTGGATCTGAGAAGAGCAAGAGAGGGGATGTTCCAATCTTATCTAAATATCTGTCTGAGACTTAACCGATCGGATGTGGGAGAGAAATATTTACTCCCGGTTGATAACTCCAACTGGGACTAAAGATCGATCTTTAGTCCCGGTTGGTATTACCAACCGGGAGTAAAGATCGCTCGATCTTTAGTCCTGGTTGGTAGTATCAACCGGGACTAAAGATTCTCGAACCCCTGACATACATCTGACAGGGGATGAACCGGGACTACAAATCATCTTTAGCCCCGATTGGTGTTACTAACCGGGACTAAAGATCAAAATTTTTTAAACCGGGACTAAAAATCGTTTTTAGTCCCGGTTTTTAATGGAAACGGGACTATTGTGAAATTTGGTCGACTGACCAAAGATGGTTTCTTCAACAGTGTATAGTCCGTTCACAAAAAGAGAAAAAAAGACTGGTATTTCAGCTTCTCTAGAAGTTAGTGCGGAGTTTATAAAAAAAGAACTGCTATTTCAGTTACACTGATCAGAAGATTGTGCTGTGATAATTAGTAGAAAACACAATCAAGTTGTAGGGTAATTTCAGAGTTCAGGTAAAATGCAATCTTCTCAGTACTATAAAATGACTACTGAAAGCCAGTAATGTTGATCAGAAACAATCATCATGTACTAGAGAAGTAAAGCCAAGCAGCCAAGCATAGATCGGCAGCATATATACCCCATACTATGCACAGTTCGCAAGACCTATATCGCTTCATTCTGAGTATTGCATTACTAGTTTCTTATCACTTTTTTTTTTGACCAGGAGTTTCTTATCACTTAATCAATGCCATACAAAAGACTGGACGAAGTGCCTAAAAAGACTTATACAACTAGCAGACAGAGTTTCAAAAGATACAAGTAAGAATATAAGATTGATGATGAGTGGTTAAGAAATTTATTTCTTTAGTGAAGATCAAAAATGAGGGTCTTTTTCGAAAAAAAAAAGATCAAAGACGAGGGAAGAGCCTAGACAAAAGCCTAGTAGACAGAGTTTCAAAAGATACAAGGAAGAATATAAGATTGATGATAAGTGGCTAAGACATTTATTTTTAAGTGAAGATCAAAGTCGAGGGAAGAGCCTAGACAAAAGCCAGGACCATCGAATTATAGAGTTATATCCTTTGGAAAAGATTCCTTAGGTTTTTTTTGGGTGGTGTGCCTTTTTTTCAGCATACCCTGTAAATATTGTTTGCACCTTGTGTGTTTGTCCCTGTTCTATCAATATACACGTAGACAAAACTTTTGCCAGTCTTAGGAAAAAAGAAATTTCATACTTGGTAATTTCTTAAAACATTATTATATCAATATAAACACGTGCTCAAATAGCCTACATATTAATTTTATTGTTTGAATATATTAATTACCAGCACACTTGATCAGACAAAAGATTGTTTGTGATAAACTTTTCCTTTTCAACGTTTAATTAGTTTTTTTTTCTTCTCCTTTATTCATTCCAGATATATTTGCCCAAAAAAAGCATCTGAACAGTTGGCACCGAGAAACGATGTTATTAGTACCAAATTAAACTAGATGGATGAAGATTAACATAGAGGAGTAGTTCTATTTTGACCAAATCAAATGTGATGCATATGTACCCAATAATTAGAAAGTATAATTTGTTGAATTTATGTGGTTTAATTTTGTTTTTAGAAAGAACATAAATAAAAAAAAGCAAACAAGTGATCCTAACATGTTTGATAAATATATACATTCTTTTGCTATGGCAATGTTATAATATATTTCTTTTACCAAAAAAGCATGGACATTTTGTATTAAAGAAAAAAAAGGATAGAACCCTAAGTGCACCCACAAACATTCATACCAAAATATGTTAAAATATTTAGTTGATTGAAATACCAAAATTAACATAACAAATAGGATTTTACCAAAGAACCAGACAGTAAAACAGATTTAGAACTTCCTCTCTAGAAGAGAGTAGTAACGAAATCCAAAAGAAAACAATGGAATGAATTCAGAAGTAATAACTAATTAAGAGAGTTGCATAGAAACCCAAGATTGCTCAAAACATGTATGCAAAAAAAGTTTTTAATTTACTTATGTAGTGATAGTTTGTATGAACTAAAATTCTACTCCCTCCATCCCAAAATATAATCATTTTTGGCATAGTGCAAAGTCAAACTTTTTTAATTTTGACTGTTAATAACAAAAAAAAAAATTAACAAGATCAACAATGTAAAATTGATGTTACTAGTTTTATCATTAAACAAGCTATCATAATATGCAACATTTTTTTAAAAACATTTTACTTTTATAGATATTGTTGGTCAAAGAAGCATCTCGAAGACTGTGTCGAAGTTCAAAAATGTTTATATTTTGGGACGGATGGAGTAATAGTATGCATGTGAAGTGTCATCTTAATTAGTAAAGCACCAGAGCTAGCTAGCTAAGAAAAGTATTGGTTCAAATATAATGCATACATATGTATGAAAATGCAAGTATTTGATGGACTCATGCATGCATGTGCTCAAAGACTGTGGACTAATTGAGGTGCTAACAAGTTTAAATCAACAAGGTGTCACCCTACCCCTTAGCGTGTTACTATTAGTCAGAAGTAGAGACATTGGATGGTGTGTTTGTAAATAACATCTGGGCAACTAATTTCTTTTATCACATTGCATAAAATTTGGAGACAAGTAATGAAGTAAACACGATGTACCGAAATGTTAGAATTAAGGAAATAATGCCATGACAATATAATGTCTGTCTCAAAAGTAAATTAAAGAGGAAGGAAAATAGACCAAATCATATACAGACTGCAGGATGTAAATGCTGATCGAAGAGGGTCCTTTATAAGCATGCAGTACACAGATTGGGACTTGTACACACAGTGGAAGCAAAAGAGGAAACATTGAACGGGAAAGCATTATTGATTCAAGAAAAATGAGAGATTGTTGGGACAACATATATCGGGAAAAGAGAAATAGATTGAGTACATATAAAAAAGATCAACTAGCTAGCACAACATGCATGGATATCACAATGCTACAACCTGTATGTGAGCAGAAAAGATCAAATTAAGCCACAGCTAAATTCCACTGGATTAATATGCTAATTTATTATCACGCATCAGTGCATCGCGTGTATGCATGTATAGTGTTAAACCTATATGAGTGTGTTCTAGGATAGTAATTAAGATAGAAAGTTTAATTTTGGATCATTCCAACATCAAGGAATAACACAACACGGGCCATCGAGTCATCAGCCAATGTCAAACAAAACGAAAGGTAAACTTAAGTGCAATGGGTCAATGAACAAGAGCAATATATATAAGCAATGACCAAGAATCAAAGTGGGAACAGAACAGCACAAAGCAACACCCATGAAGCAGTATATTGTCAAACAAATGAAATAGAAGAATGGAAAAACAAATTAACCAAAGTAACTGAAATCAAGCTTACGAAAAAAAAAAAATCTTTGCCTAGCAAATAGTAGTATAACTAGTAGTGGAAGAATGGAAGAACAAAAATGAACACATCAAACAAGCCAAAATATGAAACCAGAAGAATCATGAACAAAAGGTTGGATGGTAGTGCTGTATATGAGTGTTTTAAGGACCTTGAAGACCAAAATTAGTGAAACTTATGGTTGCTGCTGCTTGTAAGTTGTAACTCGCGGTTCCAAACTTGACCATCCAACAAGCACTAACAAAGTGCGAGAGGCAAATCCATTCACATGTACTGTTCTTAACGAAATCATTATCTGGACTGTAGGGGGCTAGCTGGCTAGTAAGCCAACACGATGTTGTCGCTTTCTTACACTTCTGTTGCAGTATATATACCTGGCCCTCGTGTATTGCATTGTGTCTTCTGGCCCGCAGCTGATGAGACTACAATTAATATTAGTTCTAGAGTTTGAATGTCACAAGGCTTCAATCTTGTGTATGCTATATATATATATACATTTAACTGGTGATCGAAGAACAAAGAGAGATGGGTTGTTTTTAATTATGTCAATTTCTCCTGTTGGAAGTAGGTAGGACCGGAATTCGAATTCTTCAGTTTCTTCACGGGTAAAACAAAAAAGGGGGAAATTCCTGATGCCCTCTAGTACAGTGGAATTCGCCATGAAAATGAAGGGTGGCCATGCATGATAATTGCAGCTAGCTAAAATATGCTCGCAACACTTGCTTTTCTTTGATCTTGTGTCCATGCCATGCATATATAACTAATGAATTCGAAGGGCAAAGATAGATAAGATGTGTTCATGACTATATGCATGTATCCACTATATTCCTGATGAAAGTGGTCTTTCAATTTCAAGCCGATCTTATATATATTATTAATTAGAGACTGAAAATGAAATGAAATTAAAGTGATCGAGGTCGTCATCCTATACATTTATATCATACTGGTTTATAACTGGTTAATTAATTAATTAATGATTATATTAGCACGTTGATGCTGATTAGGAGTTAAGATATAGATATGGTGCGTGCCAACGATATCTAGCTGTGATTTAGGCCTTGTTTATATCTTAAAAATTTTTGGCAAAAACATCACATCAAATGTTTGAACATATGCATAAGGCATTAAATGTGGGGAAAAAAACCAATTGTATAGTTTGCATATAAATTGTGAGACGAATCTTTTGAGCCTAATTACGCCATGATCTAACAATGTGATGCTACAATAAACATTTGCTAATGATGGATTAATTAGACTTAATAAATTCGTCTTACAATTTACATGTGGAATCGGTAATTTGTTTTGTTATTAGTCTATATTTAATACTTCAAATGTGTGTTCGTATCCTTAAAAACTTTACACCCAAAGAACTAAACACACCCTTATATGTGTACACTGCCTTAGCCAGGTGAGTGCAGTAGTAGTATTGTTGCAGCGAAGTACTTCCTCCGTCCCATAAAAAATCAACTTCTGGGAATGAATCTGGATAAGCATTTATCCGGATTAATCGTTAGAGTTTTTTTTTTGGACAGACGGTGTAGTGTGTTTACTGTTTCGCACGCTACCACTCTAGCAGTGGCATGGCATGGCAGCACAGCGCAGCGCCACCCCGAATTGGTGGTGACTGGGGGTGATCGGCGAACCGATGCTCCAAGCTCAACCATGCCAAAAAAAAAAAACCGCACAGAAAGAAAAGAAAAAGGTGACCATAAAATCAGAGGAACAGTAGTAGGCAAAAAAACGTCTCGGATCGAAGAAAAAAAGATCTGGAAATTAATATACTAGCATCAGCTCGTAGCTGGCCGCCGATCATCATGATATATACATATATATATATCGATGGCGACGACACGAGCATTGCATCATCAGTTCATCACTTGCAAAGTTGCAAATTAAGAGCTAGCAGTGAAGACGACAATTAATTAACCAAGCCATTGATATCAATAGAGAAGAAGAAGAGAGCGAGGGGAAATTAAAAAAGGAAGAAGAATTTATCCCCCCAGGTGTGTGGCGTCCACAGTACCAAACACACAACACAGATAGCGGCAGCTCAGGCTAAGATTTTGCCTTCATTTTTTTTAATGCAAAACTCAATTCATCCCTTAAAGGGATATCCCCTTATTTTTTTTGCATATCACTTAAAAGTCATAAAAAAATTTGAAAAAAAATTAGTTGGATAGATCAATATATGATATATCACTTCACAAACATACAAATTCAAATTCAACTTATACAAGTAGAAAAAAATAACAAATTTAACTATGAATAGAACGTGCAATTCATCATCAATTTTTTTATTTTTGTTTCGAATTGTATAAGTCAAATTTTAACTTGCATATTTGAAAAAGATATACTATCATGTATTGATCTATTGATCTATTGATCTATCTTGATAAATTTTTTAATTTTTTTATAACTTTTTGAACGATACGTACAGAACGAGAGGATGTATGCTCGAGGGATAAGAATCCACTCTCTTTTTTAATTTCATTTGAGGCATGTGGTGATGAGCTAGGCTAAGGGATAGAGCGGCACACTGAATTGAAGCTAGCACACACATGCAATTTCATCATGCAATACACACAGCGAACAAGGTGGTCTTCCTCATGGCGGGAGGGATCGGGGTGGGTCACTACACCTTGCTGTGCGGGTGGTCGTCGTAGAGCAGCGTCGGCGGCGAGAACACCGAGTAGCTGGTGTCCAGCAGCTGCGACCTGAAGACGTCGTCGTCGTCGTCGTCGTAGCCGCCCCCGCCCCCGCCGCCGCCTTCGTCGAACGTCGCCGTTTCCGCCGGATGACGACCCGGCGCCGCGCCCGCCTCGAGGGCGTCGGCGTCGCTGGCTGCGCCGGTGTCGGGCAGCGCCGTGGCGCCACCGCCGTCGTCGCCCGCGGAGGCGCGGGGGCTGTACTTGGAAGGGTCGGCGTTGCGGCCGGTGAGCTCCTGCACGAGGGCGCGGAACCCGGCGGCGCTGGTCCTCACCCGCATGGGGTTGGAGATGTACACCACCTTGATCGGCTTCTTCCCCGCCGCCGCCGCCTTCCCGTTCCCTCCCCCCTTACCACCACCACCACCACCACCACCCCGCGTTGCAGTAGCACTAGCATTGCCCCTGGAGCTCTGCTGCCTCTGCCGATCCATCACCCCCACCCCAACCTCCTCCTCCTCCTACCGACGAGATCTGGCTCCTGCAAGCAGCGGCAATCTGAATGACAAGAGCGAGTGCTCCCGGTTCTGGGCGTGGCCATGTAAGGAGGACTCCCAAATCGTGGGGATTTTTACCGAGCGCGCGAGCGAGGTGGGTGCGGGTGTGGATGGGGGGAAAGCGGGGCGTCGTGGAGCAGTAAATATCGGACAGGGTAGGCCTGCGTCACCTAGTGGGTCCCACGCTGACGCGATCTGTACAGTGGCCAGGAATTCCATCGTCACCGCCCGCCACGGCTTACCCGCGCCCACGTACCTCGGCTCCAGGGTCACCGACACCTGGGCCCCACCTACCCACGCGCCAGTCAACCACAGCGCTGGGTAGACGTCCCACAGGGTGTCAAAACTGCAAAGGAAAAGAAATATTGGAGTATCGGTATAGTGTGAGAAGGGGGTTGGAAACAGAAAAATTATTGTTGCAGTGTCAGCGCCCCACTTGCAAGTTGCTAGGGCCCATGCCTCGTAAGTGGGATAAAGTGTGAGGCCCTTCTAGTTACAGCTGTTTGTCCAGTGCGGACCACTCATTTTAAACTGCGCTAGAGGACACTAAAATGCGGTCCATATTTGCTCTTCCTGAGCATTATTGATTGGCACTACCGCACCACAACCAATAAATGTTCTCTCACTTATCACCGTCTGTATCTTTCCTTATGGGAGGAAAAGGGTTCATCTCTGCAGCTGAGCTTTCCATGTCGGTATTAAGTCGTGTGTCTTTACTTTTACTCTTGGTACTATTTTTAAAGGTTAAGTAAATTTGGTGACGAAGTGAACGTTAAAGATATTGGCATTATTGTAATTAGTTCCTCACCGTCTATCATGTCGACACGAAGGATTCCAAAACACATATAATAAACGGTTTGTTTGCACGTATCGACCAATAAGTTTCGGAAAACCCACACCATTACACATGGTACGCTAACAATATACCGTGTGACTTATGATTTTAGTGATACCTCCCACACCATTACCATGCTATTATCGTTTGAAATGTGTAAAATACCCAAAAATTTTAGTTTTGAAGGATTATAAAATGACCAAATCTATGGATCTACCGCCGGCTCACCCCGGGCGTGTGGATCCACCGCCGGCCGGTCTTCCGAAGGGGAGTGGAGGCAGTGGCGACGAGGAGGAGAGGCGGCGGCTTGGCTCCTTCCTATCCCGACGCCGCGCGATGACCAACGGCGCCGATGCGACGACGACGGCATCAATGCCTGTGGGGATGGCCGCAGATGGAGGAGGAGAGCCGTTGGCCGGAGGGGGAGGCTGGCGGTGGCGCGCCTTTTTTTTATTTCACTGAAATGTTTTTTGCAGGCGGGTGAATCTACTGCCTACAAAGATGGAGATGTCGCCTGGCGGACCCACGACCCGTATGTGGAAATCATCTATTTCCGCATGCCTTTGCATACAGGCGGTCTGCCTGCGAAAACTATTTTTGGCTGCTTGAAAAAACGATTTTTCCAGTAGTGTCAAAACCGAAAACAAATTTGGATTTTTTTTTCTTGGAAACAAAAAGGGATGCAGAAATAGCACTATCTAACAGAAAGAGAAATCGGTCGGAAACTTTCTTAGAGAATATCTCAAAAACTAATTTAGAACTTTTTCCAAAGAATGTTTACCGTCTCAAAGATGAAAAATTGGACTTGATAAAGTGTTTAAACCGTGATGTTATCCTTATGATACAAAGTGGAAAGTGGTACTATTAGCTGCTAAAATTTTAAATTTTTATATATTGTTTTAGAAAAAAAATTGAAAACTCGGTTTCCAATAAATATTCATCATGTTTTCACATTCAATAATATTCTATTCCGTTTTTATACACAAGATTTTCTATTTCTATTTTTTTAATAAAAAACATGGAACGAAAATGATAGATCTGGTTCCCGTCTTTTTTTGAGTCGTTTTCATTCCTACCTGTACGTTCATATCAAATCATTACCACACCGTCTTTTCTCGAAAAAAAAAGTCACACCAACTTGCCAAAATGTTTGTTAGAGCAAGTTTAATAGTGCAGCCCACTAATGACTATAAATCATCTATAGCCAATTCATACAATAGTTGCTTATTATAATATTAGTATCTGGTCCCACCTGTCATACACACATTACGTCTTAGAGTCCGTGCTGCAGTTGACTATAGATCCATAACCCGCTGCTCTTCTCTCTATTTCTTTATCTCTTTAAAATATGTTTATAGCTGGTTAATAGCTTTTTTTATCTCTTTAAAATATGTTTATAGCTGGTTTATAACATGCTATTGTACCTACCTTTAGCTAAGGTGCGGCGATCAATAAAGGAAGCGCAAGAATATGTTGACCACATATTAAGTCCAGGTGAGACAGAAAAATAGAGTATCATGTGTGGAGTCCGCTGCAATACTTGTGACAGTGAAACAAACAAACAGTTTTAAAAAGGTCTGACAGTGTTTGAGTAGTACTCACTCAAACGAACACCCTCTTTAATTTGGAGGGCAATTTTACTAATTTTCAATCTTGAGACGTTAGGATATATAGATACAACCTCGTATATTTATCAATTTTTAACACTGGAAATGTTAAATGTTGAAAAAAACTAAAACTGTTACTACAAGCCGGCTGGTGATTTGTCCTTGATATTTCTAAATTCAAATTTATCTGGTTAGGAATTCCACTCAAAGTACAACGACCTTATCCTTGTTAATTATATGAGTTCTCATCATTTTACAAGGTGCTAATTATTAATTTATTTTTTAAAATTATTGCAGGAAAAAATAATTAGACTTAAAACTGATCACAACTTGGAATTTATTAATTTGAATTTTAGAACACCACAATAAACATGCAATTTCATCATGCAATACACACAGCGAACAAGGTGGTCTTCCTCGTGGCGGGATCGGGGTGGGTCACTACACCTTGCTGTGTGGGTGGTCGTCGTCGAGCAGTGTCGGCGGCGAGAACACCGAGTAGCTGGTGTCCAGCAGCTGCCACCTGAAGATGTCATCGTCGTCGTCGTAGTTGTAAGATCAATGTGTGTTTTGATTCTTATTCTGTGATAAACAATTGGCATCCGTGATTATTGGTTTTGATATTTGGAGATTATCGTCGAAGTGGTTTTGGAGATAATCAATTTTCAGGTGATGATCGGATTCACTGTTATTTTATGTGACCGGTCCGACCGAGTGGAGGTTGCCGGTCAGACCGGTGCTATGTGTGCGGTCAGACCGGCCAGCCCGCGGTCTGATCAGCCGACGCTGTGTCGGTTTCGGTTTCGGGTTGTTTCTTTGGATATCCGTGATTGTTTCATGGTTATGGCTTCTAGATGATTACTATACGTATGTAATACTGTTGTTTGCTACTAATGAGTCAAGTTGGAGATAGCTTGGTCTCGGAATATGGTTTCTTTGTTTGTTTCATGTGTAGGTGACTCGATGCCTCGGGAGAGTATTTGCGGTGATGGATCGGGAGTCGGCTTGGTGGTAAGACGATGTCCGTGGTGGTCAGATATCATGAGGGATACTAAGGCTAGAGTTGATGCACGTGGTTGGTGAAGATTCCATATGGCATACGATGGAGGTATTGTGTGCGTATGGGATGCGAAGTCGAATTTGGAAGGAGTCCAAATTTGGTACGATTGGTTATGTAAAGTTTCTTTCTTGTACTAGAGGGTTTCCTAAGGTGTTTAGGACTCTTAGTATGAGTTTGGTTCATGGCTTTAGGCTGCCTACCTCATGTATAAATAGAGGGGGAGCGTGAGTCTTCCCGGTATTGCTTTGTATCGCTTTTGTATAGCTTTTGAGAGCTAGTTTAGTTAGGGTTTCGAGTTTGGTCGAGATTTTTGTAAGGAGAGTTGTTGGTGCACTTTGTAAACACAGATAGAAGCAATAAGGTTGTCATCTACTTTGAGAGTTCTTCAATTTGTGTTTCACCGGGTTTCGGCGGTCTAACCGGCATCTCAGCGACGGTCAGACCGGCGGCATTGCGGCGGTCTGACCGGCGGCGTAAGGGCAGTCAGACCGGCGGCGGCAACAGCAAGCGGCAGCTGATCAGGCGGTCAGACTGGAGTTCCAATCTCGGTCAGACCGGTGGCTTTCAGACGGTCAGACCGGCACGACTACCTCGGTCAGATCTCGATCCATCGATTTCGAGGGTAACTTTTATTTCCGCTAAAAGTTTTTGGTTTTGGGGTATCTCAACCATTCACCCCCCCTCTGGTTGGCTTAGTTCTTGTGATTCGATCCTACAAGTGGTATCAGAGCCACGTTTGCTCTTTTCGATCTTTACCGATCTTGAGTTTTTGCCATGGCTAATAAGTTTACAACTAAGCCCCATGTTTTCGATGGAACGGATTTTTCTCATTGGTGTAGTAGGATGCAATCTTACATTATGGCTGAGAATTATGATATTTGGAGAAAAGTTTCTCATCCTTATATGATTCCTGAAGTTATTAATACTGCTGCTGCAAAAACTGAGTTTGAACAAAATTGCAAAGCTCGCAATATTCTTTTGAGTGGGATTTCTCGTTCGGATTATGATCGTGTTGCTCATCTTCAAACTGCTCATGAGATTTGGACTGCTTTGAGTAATTTTCATCAAGGAACAAATAATATTAAAGAACTTCGTCGTGATCTTTTCAAAAAGGAGTACATTAAATTTGAGATGAAACCTGGAGAAGCTTTGGATGACTATCTTTCTCGGTTTAATAAAATTTTGAGTGATCTTGATTCCTCTTATGATGCTAATTATCCACAATCTGAGATTTCTCGCCACCTTTTAAATGGTCTTGACATGTCTATTTGGGAAATGAAAGTTACATCTATTCAGGAGTCTGTTAACATGTCTACCTTGACTTTGGATTCGCTTTACACAATATTGAAAACTCATGAGATGAATATTCTTGCTCGTAAAGTTGATTCTAAGTCTAGTGCTTTGGTTTCTTCCTCGACTTCTTTGGATGTTGGTACTTCTTCATCGAAGCCTTCTGTTCTTGCTTTATTTAATGCCATGTCCGATGATCAACTCGAACGGTTCGAACATGTTCTATTGTGCTTGATGAGAGGGATCATACTATTGAGATTCTTAATGCTGAAATTGCTAGATTAAAATCTTTGATTCCTAATGATGATAATTGTCAATCTTGTGAAGTTTTATTTTCTG